CATCGGGGGGGGCGGGGCTATCGGGGGGGGCACGGGGGGGGGAAATTTCATGGACGTCCTGCGTGACGCCGAGAAGAAAAGTCGACCGGCGTGGGGTCTCCTACCTTCCGCGCGGTGAAGCAGGTGGTGGAGCATGTCGTCGACCTAGTCCACCATCACGGTGTGCTGCTTGTGACGGGAGCCGCCTGTGCTCGCCGTAAGCCGTCTTTATTCTCCACGTAGCGGAATACACGAATGTTTGGGTGAATCAACCAGGCTCCAGGCCAGTGGCCAAGGACAACACACACACGGCTAGGAAAGCATGGGTGGGACCACGGGCCGGAGCTGGAGGCCTCATCCCAAGATCCAATACTTACATTATATGATCCTCGACCAAGAGCAAAATGCAACAGTAATATCTGGGCTACAAACGAATTCAAATTCGGCACGAAAATGAATGGAGGCGTCTGCCCCGATAATATGTTGAGAAACGCATATAGTCGATCAGTCTTTCTCCCTACCGTGAATACGAGAGAACAACGTGTACGAGAGGAAGAAATTGGAGACCACCCACCCACCCTCCCTCCTCTAAAAGCTTGATGCTTCTGGATCATTTACAAGATTCATTACCGCGCGGACCGCAGTCGGCGCGATGGTGCATCCATGGGACTACAGGCCTCAGAGCTGGAGGCCTCATCCCAAAATCCAATACTTACATTAAATGATCCTATAGGCCAAGAGCAAAATACAACAGATTTTTTTGTCGGAAAGTTATTGAACCTAATCTTTTTTTGGACTCAACTGACTCAATTGGAGTGCCGAAAAAAACGGTGGAGCGCAAGGGTCTTGGTCTGATGGGAGTGCGTTTTTACAATATTGACTGGCGAAGCGTCTACCAGGAACACTATGTAGACTAGGCATGAAACGAGGAAAAATAGGGGGGGGGGGCGTCGCCGTTACTTGGTTTCCATTCCTGATGATTTAACGTGCACAAGCACATTGTCCAGTACGTTATTGGAGTTCTTGGTTATTATAAAAAAAGTTGGTCCACTTTCGCTTGGCACGATCGTCTCGGTATGACCCTTCATACGCCCCCTCCTACCTTGCGCCCCCATGGCGAGGGTTAGGGTTATAGGGTTAGCTATTATAGTCTAGAGGTTATCAACAACAAAGTGTGCAAAGACCGTGCACCATCCGGCAAGCAAGATGTCCGTCTGTCAGTCAGCATCACCTGACGCTACTCCTACTTGGTGCTTGCCCGGTGTAGTGGCGGCTCAAGAGGTGGTGTACTCACCCAAGAGAGCGCCGAAGCACCTGCCTAACTGAGCCCTGGGTGACCATGCGGCGAAACACATGCCGGTTGTTCGATTGGAGGCTACACCCACGACCCCCGTTCATCCGAGCGCTCGGAATGAGCAAGAGCAAAACAAGAGACCACCAACGAATGAATGGATGGTGTAATTTCTTGAGGCCGCTATGGGGGAGGGGGGGGGCAACACAACTAGCAATCACTGCGTATTGTTGTCGGTCGCTGCGCTCCATGGGTCAAGGGTAAAATTTTCGTGATTCACACGAAAGGTCGCCGTTCGCGGTGACAAAGCGGCCTCTCTGTTGATCTTGTACGCAAGATTCGCAGCTATGACTGTAGGCGAAACAAACAAGCTGACATTGAAGTTTTCTCGTCCATTGGCTACATACCACGTGTAAACAGATGCTTGTGTACCAACACAAACATGTTGGCAGCCCTCCCCCTCCCCACGAGCTCGGATTTGACGGTGCCGCCAAACAACAGAAACACGAAACACAGCGCGGCCTGACCTGTAACAACCCGCTTCGCGCAGCCAGCCAGCAAGCAAGCAAGCAAGCACGCAAGCAACAAGCAAGGCTCAACCGCGACGTGATCACCCCTCTCCTTCAAGAACGGACTATGCAGTCATCAAGTGTTTTCGTGCCAGCTGGCATCGCTGCTTTTCCACAAAAGGGCCTGAAAGTCCTTGAAAGACAGACAGACCGAACATGAGCCCGACGTGTACCTCCCAATCCCTACTCTGTCAAGGCTTCCAACATCGCACTACTTCGGACGGGTAGCTATCCCAAGCGGGGATGAAGCATCATACTTCGAAATAGTTATTTTTTCGGTATTCGGCGTATCCTCTAATTCATGGAACATACGACGCGCGCGCTCAAGCGGACTTGTTTTTCTTTCGCTTGTTCGACTTGCCCCCCGTGAGAGGGGGGCTGCCAGTCGCGGGGCCCCCGTCCTCCTCCCCGCCTCTTCTCTTCTTGTGCTTCTTTTTCTTGGTCGATCCGTTTTCGGCCGCCACCGATTCCTCGGAGGGTCGAGCCTGAAAAAACAAAAAAAAGCGACACAAAAGTAGACGGGGGAGTGCATCAGGATGCTGAGACGCCGGCCGGCCAACAACAACAACAAAGGCACCGAGAGTCTGTGTATCACCATAGCAAATAGCACAACAGGCAGCAGCATGGAAATAAGGACTTGACTCCAGCGGATGTCATACATACCACAACTAACAGCCGGGACCCCGCTTTCCTCCAAGAGAAAAAACGGGACACCTCCGTCGCGTTGGTGAACAAAAACAAAAACAAAAACAAAAAAATAAGGGCTGCACAAGCAAGCACACAATTCGCCACAAACACCGGAAAAAATCAAACGCGGCACCGGGGCGCTCGCGGTCTAGAAAAACGTACCTTGGACTTGATGGAAACGGTGCCGCCGCCGCCGCCCTTGCTGATCTTGCTCTGCTTCGTCGCCGCGTCCCAGTCCGCCTCCGTTCCTCGCACCGCGTACTGCGCCAGGTCGACTGCGTCCAACAGCTGCTCCTGCAAATTGTTACAGCAGTACACACGAGTGAAACAGAGCTTCAATTGTACCCAGTTCGGTACGGCACAAGGAAAGTTATTGTCTCCCTTGACAAACGAAAGTTAATAATTGGTACATACACATGACCCCCCCCCCTTCCCCCCTCCGGGATAAGGATGAAGAGTTACTTGGACGGCCCCATGGACTACGCAAAAAAACTGAAGTTGCAGTTTCGAGTAGGCGATCTGGACTTGCCAGAACGGAGGAAGAGGTACACCAGCCGTAGGAGAGAGGAAGAGGAGGATAGACAGACATGTCCATGTGGCAAATCGGAGGAGAGTAGACCCCACATAGTTGGGGAGTGTGAGTTGTACAGGAAGGAAAGAGAGGACCTCGAGGAGGACACGAGACAGAGAGGGTGTGACATGGACAAGTTTGGTAAATTAGACAACAGCGAAAAAAAGATCGCGGTAATTGGGGATAGATGGTGGGCACAAGAGGCCGTAGAGGACGGGGATAAGATGTGCAAGAAATTTTTATGTAGTTTGTGGCAGAAACGTCAAGAGCTCCCAAATGCCGGTGGTGTCTCTAGTAGGGGTAGGAACGGTGCTCCGTCTCGAAAGGAACGCGTGGTAAATGGTCAAATGACTACGGCAAGCAACAAATGAGTACGCCCCCCCCCCC